GCCCACAGCTAATTAATACAACTCTTTTTTTTTTTGGTTTTTCGAGACAGGATTTCTTGTGTAGTTTTGCACCTTTCCTGGAACTCACTTGGTAGCCCAGGCTGGCCTCGAACTCACAGAGATCCGCCTGGCTCTGCCTCCTGAGTGCTGGGATTAAAGGCGTGCGTCACCACCGCCTGGCCCACTTATTCTTAACAGACTGGGCAATTTAGTTTTTCTTTTTTTAATGTGTAGGAGTGTTTGCCTGCATGCATGTATGTGTACCACATGCATGCAGTGCCCACAGAGGCCAGACGAGGGCGTCAAGCCCTCTGGAGCTGGAGTTACGGATGTTTGTAAGCTGCCCAGCGGGTGCTGGGAGACAAACTCTTGGGCAAGAGCAGCAAGCATGGCTGAGTCACCTCCAGCCATTTAGTTCTGGTTTTTAAAACGGAGACCTAGGGACATCCTCCTGCCTCTGTGTGTACACACAAGCTTGCAGACCTGCATCCATGTGTATATGCATTAACCACATACTCACAAAACATGGATCTATGTGCTCTGTGACCTGAAAAATCCCGTCAGAGCAATTATCTGTCCCTAAACAGAGTATAGCGATCTCCAGGGGCTTTGCCTGATCAATTTTAAGAAATGGACATTCAAATCACCACATAAGCCAGGCATAGTTTTCTGTACAATGGGCTTCAGAACACTTCCTGTCACCTTATTGACAAACGTGACACTCACTCATCCTTCCTGGAGACACTTACAAACCATTTCCTGACCGGGTCCTAGCGGTTGACCCCAGAGGCGGTGGTCAGTTTTCTGTTTCTGTAGCAAACTACCTGAGGTAACTTTTAAGAGAGAGAAGTTGCTCTTTGGTTCATGGTGCCCCAGATTTCAGATGGTGGTGGGTTGTGTTAGGCCTTTGGAAAGAGACCATGGTGGGAGCAGAGGGTGGATCTGTGGCGGCGTTCCTGCTGAGCTGCGCCTGGCCTGGCTCCAGAGAGCAGCACCAGCCCCAATCCATCCTTTGTTTAACCTTTTGTTTCTCTTATGCTTGCTCTTTGTGAATCTTGTCCCAAGGATCAAAGGCCTATGCAAAATTTGGTTCGGGAAACCATACCTGAGAAATGGAGGAATTTGCACTTGGCATTGTATTTTTGGGAGCTCCTTCCAGGTTGTTTTGAGCATATGGAAATCAACTAGCTAAACTGTAAATATTGAGAAAAATAAAAATGCCCTGGGCAAAGCGAAAGGGCTTCAGTCCTTAGAGGCTGCATCCCCTGCAGCCGAGAAAGGCCAGATTCATTCTTAAGGTGCCTCTGAATCTTCTTTCCACAGATCTGCGTGAACCCACACACCCGTGCTGAGACACTTCACGACATGGAACAAATCTCCCCCTTTGTGGCCACAGAGAAGCACAGGAAAGACTCTCATCCCATGGTCCCCTCAAAGGCCATGGTCCCCATGACCTAAAACCTCCTGTTAGGACTGACCTCTCAAAGATGTCCACTTTCCAATATGCCAGATCGATGATCAAGCTTTTAACACTTGGGCCTTTGGGCCATTGTTGGGTCCACGTTGTAGAATATTATTTTAACTAGGCAAAGGTGTGTTACGTTTGTTTATGCTGCAATTGTTTAATGATGTAAGGGTTGTTACATCTGTTTGTGCTGCATTTAATTATGTAAAGATGTGCTGCATTTGTTTCACCTTGCCTGCCTAAGGCACCTGATTGGTCTCATAAAAAGAGCTGAACAGCCAATAGCGAGGCAGGAGAGGGACAGG